AGGTAGGAGCGTGATGTTGCCTGTTCCTCCTTTGTTGTTAATCGGTGCAGTTGTTGGGTTCCTCTGGTGAGTTTGGTGAGTTAAATGCATTCAGAAACAGGTGCCTGTTACCTGAGTGACAGTTGTATGTGTCTGAGTGGCTTCAGAAAAACATATGTCTCCCTAGATCTAGATTTTTCAAACCCTTGAGCTGATAGAAACAGATTCTATTTTTTAAAAACAAAAGGTAAATCAGATATGTATATTTGTTGAAACATTTCCTGTTTGCACTTGATGTACTCTAACTTACTTTATCTCTCCTGTAGCAAGGAGAGATATTTAGATAAATTTTATTATTTAGATAAATTTTGATAATTTTTTTTACTAGGCTTCTGCTACAGATTATAAACAATGGTGTCTGTGGGGTTTCATTCCTTTCTTTCTTTTCCTTAATAATTTGGGATCAGTCTACATGAAATTGTGTATTATGCTGCAAACTGCTTGAATTTTTTACTGAAAACCTTTGTTTTTACTTGACTCTGTGGTACCTTCAATAATAGATCCCAAAATAATTTAGTTTAGTTAATCCCTCGTAGATCAATCTTCTGATAGAAAAAAAAAGGTGACAACAATTCTCTGCCTCCATCAGTAATTTACCATTTATTTACCAAGAGTATTGTTAGTTTGAATCACTGGATATTGTGTCTAACAGTGGAGAATTTATGGTTCTGTACACTAGCAGTTTGTGGTCTCCTGATTCTTAAAAGCCTGATGGAAAATACACACATTAGAGATTTAGTGCTGTATTATATACTTGAGGAATTTTCAGAATTGATCATTTTGATGATCATGACTTAACACAATCCAGTGGCTAGTGGCTGTCAGAAATAAATACTGCTTCAATTCAGAATGCTTTAAATTCCATACAAAAGTAGTGCACAGTACAGAGGAGGAACTTGAGCTCTGTCTCCTAGACAAGCTATATATGCCCTGTGCTTTTGGGGCCTGACCTTTTCAAGTACACGCTTCTGCTGCCTTAGCTCAAAGGTGAATCAAGCCCATCATGCATGAGAGGCACCTTAGCTTGTGCCATCCAAGTGCTGAAGGAACAAGCTGGCCAGTAGAGCTGTGTTCTGTGGAGCAGACACTTGTTCCTTGCTGGCTCCTGTTGTGTCCCTTCCCACTTCCCTCACTCCTGCAGAGGCAGCTATGAAGACAGGGAGTCTGCAGTGTGGGGAAGCTGTGTTCTATCCACAGTTGTTCTATAGCACGGGACTTGCATTAATTTGCTTCTGAACTCCTTCAGTCTGTGCACTGAGCTCTGCAAAAGCCTTTCTTCAGTTTGTGATTATTGGGAATTTATGTTAATAGTGGAGTACGATTTTAATTTGGAGGATTACTATTTCTGTGTCAGCCACTTTAAATCACCTTGCATGTCATGACAATCTACAGCTTCCTCGTGAGGGGATGAGGAGGGGCAGGCACTGATCTCTGTGGTGACCAGTGACAGGACCTGGGGGAATGGGCTGAAGTTGTGTCAGGGAAGGTTTTTCACCCAGAGGATGATGTTAGGAAAGGTTCTTCACCCAGAGGGTGGTTGGACACTGGAACAGGCTCCCCAGGGAAGTGATCACAGCACCAGCCTGACAGAGTTCAATAAGTTTTTGCACAATGTTCTCAGGCACAGGGGGTGACTCTTGGGACTTCCCTGTGCAGGGGCAGGAGTTGGACTCAGTGATCCTTGTGGGTCCCTTCCAACTCAGGATTTTCTGTTTCTGTGTGTGGGGCCTGTTCTGCTGGTCAGCATTTGTGCTCCAGCTGCCTCAGCTTTGACTTGGAGCTCTTGCATGTTTAAATACAATTGCCAGTTATTTTACTCTTAATATTGTAAATAATTAGCTTAAGGGGTTAGCAGTGTATAGACTTTGTCTTCAGAACGGGTTGTTCTGTTGCTAAGATCAAACACAAATTAGAAGGATAAAAATAAGCTGGAATGTTACAGGATGTACATATTCCAAAAATTCTGTTATTTGAAAGAAAAGTAGTATTGGCATATCTGATACTCAAAATACTGGCTTCAGTACAAGATCAAACATTAACAGCTTCTGGATATGCATTACCTTTACCATTTTGGAAAATCATGTTTCCCGTGCTTTGTTCCCCAGAGTGCCCCAGCGGTCCTGACATCATTCCCATTGTAGCCGGTGTGGTTGCTGGAATTGTTCTTATTGGACTTGCATTATTATTGATTTGGAAACTACTAATGATCATTCATGACAGAAGAGAATTTGCTAAATTTGAAAAGGAGAAGATGAATGCCAAGTGGGATACGGTGAGTCAAGAAGGTTTTCTATGTATAAAAACTTCAGTAGTGGAGGAAAAATAGAAGATTTTTGTTCAAAGTGTTTCAGATTATAACCAGTCCTCTTGGAGAGATGTTTCTTGAGGCAGAAAAGAGAATAGTAACTCAGGTTTAAATAATATTTCAGAGAGGAAATGTGATGGTGACAGAACAGTTCAGCTTTGCAGTTCTACCACGCTTTACAGCCTATGATTAAAACGTTTATTACAAAGATGAGTCACTTCTGTAGAAAGCAAAGAAGAAAATTTTGCACTGATTGAGGAAATCTTGTAAATACTCACACAGGGTTAGTTGGGAGGTTTCCATAAAGTCACAAAGTCATGGCTGGTGCTGGTTGGTTGAAATCTCCCCAGCTCTTTGTCAGCAGAGAAGTGGGCAAGAAAAACAAGCCTGTGGTGTATAGGCTTCCATAGACTATGGAATCGCTGCCTCTGGGCAGTGTCAGGAGTTTGCTGATCAAGAGCCCCTTCATTACAGTTCTGTAGAAGTCAATGCCCCCATGTGCTTGATGAGAAAATGTCTTTTTTAAAAATTGTCCTAGGAAGCCTTTTGGCTTCATTTTAAGTTTCATTTAAGTAAATTGATTAATCTCATACTGGGAAAAAAAATTACTAACACTTTACTTTATGTACAGCATGATTCCTTTTCAGTGATAGCTGAGAATGTTGCTTTTTTTCCTGTTGAATTATTCGACATTGACCATTTCTTTTACTTCAGCAAGAAAATCCAATATACAAGAGCCCTATTAACAATTTCAAGAATCCAAACTATGGACGTAAAGCTGGTCTCTGAGTCTCAGTTTGTATCTCCTTTCATTTTCTTTCCTTTTTTCCCCCTTTGCATGTTACTTCAAACTCACTGTGTGTCACAGTCCGTTAATCACAGTTTGAGTCTTGCTCAGTGTACTACTTCTGCTTTGATTGTGGGGTTTTCAAGAATGCAGCTTGAAAATTTTTAACTGCATTTGACAGCAAGATTGCTTACTTACTAATGCTGCCAGTACTGGCTTAAACTATTCTACAAGTGATTTTTTAGTTTTTTTTCTAGATATGTGGATACATAATAGAGCAGCTCCTAGGATTGAAAAATATTTTTGGATTGTAGAGAGACACACAGGGAATGTTTTGTCTTCTACTTCTTCAAATCAGCAGTCAGTTTGCTTAAAATCAATATTTTTGCTAAGCTAGATTAGATACTCCTAAAATATCCCAGCCTATAAATATCACTGTTTTTATTGGAATAGCTCTGTGAACATGCAGAGTAGCATTACTTTTTTTTGTCAACTGCATTGGCTTATTAACCTAGTATAGACCTAGTCTGTAATTAAGGTATGAAATGCATATACTCTACTAATTTTATAATTAAATATGCACCTTATTTTTTTCATCCCTTTTTCTATTGAAACTGGCAATGTCATGGTCCTCACAACCTAGCCAGCTTTAGGGTGTCCATAGATATGGAACATTAATAGGAGAGGAGGAAATATCCTTGTCCCCTCTAGATGCATTTTTCACAGTTTCTTACTCCCTCCTAAACTCAGCCTGGGCACCTCATTTGGTTGGAGCTGCTGAGTTCAGTTCTCTGCACACCCAACACACCAAAGTAACAGCAGTATCCAGGAGAGGAAGTCAGTGAAGCACAAGATGATTTGATACCTTCTGCAGACTCTGAGATTGCCCTTCCATGAGTGCTGGAGGTGTTCTCCTTCCCTGGGACCCCCAGCTGCTGAGGAAGGAGGGAAAGGGAGGCTGAGATGGGGAATGGATGTCAGAGGAGCACTAAGAGAAAGTAAAAGTAGTGCAGAGATGAGACTAGAGGGAGGGGTATGAAGAAGTTGTGAAGTCAGCACATCCATTAAACGTCCATGGAGCTTTTTTCAGAAGCCAGAGGAAGGGAACAATCTGTATCTCTAATTTTATACTGTCTGCTGTCTCCCTTTTTCAGTGTTGCATTCAAAAGAGTTTGTAAAGGAAAAATAAGGGGAGAAAGCAGAAACTGAGAATATTTAAGCTCTTACTGTGACAACAGTTCCAAATACTTTGTGTAGCATTCCAAGCCCTTCCTGATGAAATACACTTTCCTTTTCCCTTCACAATCATTTCACTTTGCAGTGTATCCAAAATGGATTGTAAACAACATTCCTTTTGCCTGCTACATCAACCACATTCACCTCCTTTTCATTTTTCTTCCCAGAGCCAATTATTCTGGGGAGGAAATTGAGTTTTTGGTCCTTTCTAACACTTCACATACTCCATCTGGTTAAGTGTCTGTTACCCGTTCTTCTGCCATTCACTTAATTGTGTACTTTCTGTTGCATGCAGGACAAGCACCTAACAAACCATACGGTGTGTAACTTCCATTCTGTGCTCTTGTTCTCTACCCTGTGACTCTTCAGGATGTAATGTTTGGTGCTGCCATTTCTCCTCAAAAAGTATATCCTGCTAAAAGCTTTCCTGTGGTGTAAATGGAGAGATTGACTTCTGCCTTTTTGGTTCACTCAGATGTGAAGGCTAAAAGTGTGAAAGGGTGTGGTTTGGGTTTTTTAAACATGTCTTTACAATTTTTGGTATTCATAGAAATATTAGAAGTCTGGGGAGAGAGGGAGTGGGTTTATTCTTATGGACCACTGGAAAGGAGGAGGTCAGAATTGTCAAAGTAGGTGAGCCATGAGATGTAAAACAAGGTCCTGCTTTTCCCTACAGATAAGATTTTCTGGTGGTATTACATTATTGCCATAGCCTCTCATTTAGATGAAGAGATGCCTTGTAATGTCAAGGCAGCAAAGTCATCTGAAATCCCATTATATGAAAATTACACTGTAGTGGATTCCCTTGAGGTGTGTGCATACACAAATTAACTTAGTGCAGTTTGTGTGACCCTTCCCCTCTCCCACAGCCATTGTCCACACTCGGGCTGGGGCTCTGTGGTGAGGGAACTGCAGCACCGTGGAGTTTGCCATGGACCAGGTACTCAGCTGTTTCCCTGGTGCTGGCCCATGGTGGTGCAGATGATGCCACAGCATCCCAGGGCTCAGTGCTCAAGGCAGCTGGGTCAAACAGAGTTCTCTTTGCCCAGGTTCTACCCCAGTCAGCCATAAAAGCTTTGGTGCACTCATGCTTGTAACAAGTCTAAGGATAAATTTCTTCTGGACTGAAAAGCTGCATCACAAATTTAAAACACAAAGCTGCTATCTGTAGTGAATGCCATTACCACTCCTGCATGGGAATAGCTTGGGCATTGCTAAGCATCTTCAAACAGACTCCAAATTCAGTCATCTTGAATTTCACAAGTGATAAACACATTTATATTAGACACTAATACTAAAATTAAAGAAATTTAAGTCTGTAGTAGTTTGGTTAGCCTTATTTTCAGCTACTGGTTAAAATGAAAAAAAAAACACAAGCAGTTCAAAGTGCTCAAAATTGCAGGGACTTGTTCTTCTCCTGAGTTGGATTTTGTGCTGTAATTTACCTTGCTGCTGAATGATGGACGCACTCTAGGTGTGGGAGTGGAGATGCCGTGCTTTCAGTCCCTTTCCTGAAAATTGCTGTGTTCAGTGAGCGCTGGTTTGTGACCCAAGGATGGAGGGGATGGATGGATGGATGGATGGACGGACGGACGGAGGGACGGATGTCTGGGGGTGGGGGCGCCCTCTGGCGGCCTTGCGGGCTCGGAGCGGGCCCCGCTGCTGGGAAGCGGCGCTGGACCCCAGCGGGGGCTCCATAGACACAGCCTGCTCTTGAACAGCGTGTGCATGAGTTTAGCTCTGTTTCTTACGGTGCCTTCGGTCTTAAACCCACTATGGAGGTAATTTCAGTGACTGCTGAAACACTGAGCCCCTGCAGCAAATGGAATAAGAAGGTTAATTGAACACGGATCTATTCTGTGTAATAGTTTCATCTTCATGCAACGCTGGACTGAACTGGTGTCCTCTGAGCAGCCAGTCTAGCTGCAAGTGAATATTGTTGCAAGAACACAGCTTTTTAGTCTCAGTTGAACGTACTTTTAAAAGTACCCCCATCTTTATTTTGCTCAGTATTTCACTGACTCTTATATGTAGTTACTGTTTGTTAATTTTAATTTTGGTTTTAGTGTGTATGGAGTTTTCAGTTGTAGGGGCATGTGGCAAGTGTGTTTTCCCTAAGTCTGCATGCTTATGAACCAGTGTATTCTCTGCAGTGCCATGAAGAAGAGGGGGCATTTAAAATCATACTATTTGTCTAGGACAGCAAGTTTGAATCCCGTGTTTTAGTGGCCAGTTAAAAAGCTGGAATGCTTCTAATGTCTGAAAATGTACCCTCTGCCAGCTGTGAGGGGCCCTGAGCGAGGGGAGTGTCATGTTGGATACTCATTTGTGGATATTTATTCTCATGAAGAGCTGTCTGCAGGAGACGCTGCCAAGCCAGGCCCAAGGCAGGGTGGTTGGGTGGGGCTGGAGCTTTACCAGAAGAGAGCAGGGAAGGAACCTGCAGATCCATCAGGTGCCTGTGTTGCAATTATAGGCAGTAGAGCCTCAGGAGCCATTTAGCTGATCAAAAGTCAGGTTGGGTTAAGCTGAAGAGTTGTGAATATTGACTAAATCTCCGTTATTTGTAATGGGAACTGAGACACTGACCTGACGTGGGGAGACAGCTAGTCAAGTGCTTTATCCAGTGACCTAAATCCCACTGTGTGCTTCTGAGAAGTGCAAGTAAAGGGAAGGCAGGACAGAGTTTCAATATCCTTGTAGGGCTTATGCTAAATCAAGACCATGAAAACTCCAATTCTGACTTCTCTTTAAAAAGCAGTATAGTAAAAATTTTGCAATCTTGTTACACAAATTGTATGTTAAGCCTGATTTCAGGTTCAAATTAGTTCTATGAGTAGCACCTAGCAAATTTCCAAGTTTTATTCCTTACCTTTAGACCCATTCCTAGGCTATGTGGTAGAAGTTATCTCTTTTACAGCTAGAAGGTGTGAGTGTATACCCCCTGTGTGTGCTGGGGGGAGTCTGTTCTGTAAAATGTTGGAGGCTAACAGCACAAGTGTTACATAATGCCTGGCCATGGAGGAGCTGTACAATAACTTATAGTCTGCATATGATGCAGCCTCTTATGCTTACAGACTTCCTCTGCATCATAAACTTTACCGGTTTATATTTATATTTTTAAGAATTCTCCATTAAAGCTTGTCAAGGAAATAAGCAATGTACATTGCCAAGAACTTTGAGGGATAAAGAGACACTTCAGTACCAGATTAAATCCCTCATCCCTGGATGTTCTTCCCATTTTGTTTGCATGTTACTATTGCAAACCTTTTGCTAAAAATATTGATTAATTAGTCTGTCTGAGAACTAGCCACATTACATGATTTTCCATTATTTAAAATTTAAAAAAACCCAACCAAATGTTACTCCTCATCCCCTCCCAGACCAGTAGGTGATACACTTCTACTCAAGAGAGCATTTGCCTGGGAACTGATGGAAGGGGGAAGGGACTTTTGCTGTCACACTGTATTTGTGAAGCACAGCCAGCACTGAACACCCAGCTCCTCCTTCACCTCAGGTGACATTGACTCGGATCTTGAGAAGACTGACCATAGAGCTTTGACTTCCATTGTCTGGCAATCCAGGTTCTGGCTGGACAAGTCTCTTGGATCTAGGCAAGACTGGATGTGCCTCCTTGCTCTCTGCATGTTAGGGAAGCTGGCTGTGAGGAGAAAAACCCTTTTGCTGTGAGAGGAAACATGGGAGCAGCTGCAGGGGCTCCCTCAGCACCCCACTGTTGTTGGGGTAGACCAGTTATCCATCCTCTGCTGGGCCTTGAAAACAGGAGGCATCAAACTTCCCAGGAACCATGATGAGAAAATTTCACACCAAGTGAGGTTCTTGCTTGCCTTTGGCACTTTCTGTGGTATTCCAAGCTGTTTTTCCAGGTTTATGACCCTGAAAAATAGGCACCTGTTTGTGCATCCTATAATTGAGTGTAGGAGAAATTGGTGTAACCTGAAATATTGTAAATGGAGTTGAGTTAATGTGGTTGTATAGCCCATCTCAGATCGGGGTGAAGGTCAGAGATTCCTCCACTGCTGCTGAAGGCCAGATACAGCCCTGGCCAGGGCAGCACTCGAGCTGACATCTGCACTGAGCTCAGTTTTCTCAGGAATCAGTTGTGTATGCACAGAAGAGCTTCATGCTGGCAGACAGCGTTCAGGCTGTGCCAAGAGCTCAGAGCTGCAGCTCCAGCAGTTCTAGCAGTGGTCTTTTCTCCTGTGAGGATTTATGTGTTAATTTCGAGATCAAGCTGTTCATCTGAGGTGTGCAAGGATGTCATAAATGGAGTAAGATGTACTGAGATAGAAGGAAACCTGGGGGAAAAGGAAGCTTAAAATAAGCTTCATTTAGACAGGTTTTAAATCTCAGCAAGAGAGATGTAAGCAATTGTTCTGTAGGCTTGTCTCATAACGATAGAAATAATTGTTTTATTACAGCATCTGCACCAGTACAAAAGTTTCTTTGTTTTATCTGTACATTTTGCCCTTATGGTGGTTGGGGAGACCTGCAGGAATAAAATGAAAATGACAAGTACTGAATGCTCACTATAAATATTGACTGTGTATTAGCAAAATACTAGAAGTCTTTCCACATTGTTTCTAGAATTCAATTACAATGTAAGATAAGCTATTTAAATGTTTATTATAGCAGAATGTGGTCTGTGGTCAGTCCTGGTGTCAAACAATTTTGTTTACAATTCTGTTCTTGTCTATAAAATGCCCTGGGGCTGCAGAGCCCTGGGTGATGGCTCAGCCCCGAGGTTCAGCTGCCTCCAAGGAATTCTGTGGTGCAAATGGAACAGGATCCTGCTAACCCTTTGCTTTATTTATTAGCTGTGCATGCCTTTGTTCAAGCTGCTAGAAGGAAAACTACTTTGACTTAAGCTGTTTGTGTGTACAAACAAAGCATTAATGGGTAATTTCTTACGCTAATTTTTATGCTTCTTGCAAACAAGTATCTTTTTTCATATCTTTAAATGTTAATTTCTTTTTTCTTTTCCTAGGGTGAAAATCCTATTTACAAGAGTGCAGTGACGACTGTGGTCAATCCTAAATATGAGGGAAAATGAACACTGCTTGTATAACTTCACAACACTGTATGCAGTATAGCAACTTTTGTAGTCACAATAAGATAGATTTAGGGCAAGCTGCAGTGATTTTACTAATTAATTACATATAGGTTTGTTTTCCTGTGTGAAAATATGCCGTATGTAATTGGGGTTTTTTTTTTATTTTTTTTTTTTTTTTTAATTTTTTTTTTTTTTTTTTTTTTTTTTTTTTTGCAAATAAGAGTAATTGGTGCCGGAGGTTGGACAAAAAAAAAACTTGAGACTGTGTAGCCTAGTCAGCCCAGGACACATGGTGCCTTTTTGACCTTTCCCATTCCCATGCTGTGAATCCAGGTCTTGTGCAGGGCGTGATGCTGCATGGCATGACTGGGAGGGAAGGGGTTAAAGCAATCAGCATGAGGGCTCTGCCTAGCCATTTAGTATTAAACTTTTTAGCTTTACAGGGAAATCAGGGCTTGAGTTTGCAGATGTAATTAAACTCATGTAGCATGGAGCTGGTGGTTAATTGGTCTTTGACTTGCTAGATGTGTGATTAAGTGTTTGGTAAGTTGAGTAAGCTGGAGGGGAGCAGTGTAAAAGACTGAAAAGCGTGTGCATACTTATCTTTGATTTTCAAGTTTCATATTGCCAGGTTATGGTTAAAATGAAAAGTTTTGAGAAGAATGTTAAGAAGGAAAAAAATAGCTTTAAAACATGTGCCATTACTGAAGAAGTTGCTGACTGGTAACTTACTTAGTTTTCCTTTGTAAATTCAAGCCCTGGGTGACAGTATCATGAAGTACCTTACCAAGACATCCTCAGATCACCTAAGGGCCTTACGTGATGCTGTGTCTTTTATTCTGTAATGTTTCTTTGCTTTCAAGCCTGGTGCTTTGTCACCTTCTAATCTTTTTAATGTATTTGGTTGCCATTCTTTTTGTAATATTTTTGTATCAACACAAGCTTTTTTTTCTCCTCTTTTTTTTTTTGAGCAGTCTTAGCTGTAAATTTGCATTGACCCCATAGCTGAGATTGCATAGTTTGTCATGTGATGAGTCACACATCATTCTTGACATGTGCCATGTATATTTGCCTCTGACCATTCAAAGTGCATCATAGTCATATTCTTGTTTTAAGTGCCTTTTTATTTTAACAGATGTTCACTTTTTACAATGCTATTACTGAAGTTATTTATTAAATAAAAGTACCTTAAAATACTTGATCTTGTCTCTCTATCTTGTAGAAGTTATTATTCAAAATCCTGAGAACTGTGTCTCTGCAAGGTAGTAATTGTAATAATACCAAATATGCCCTGGAAGGAGTTAATGTCACACAGGAATCTGACCTTTAGGAGCACTGACCCCTGTGCAGTGTTAGCAGTGCTCCCAAATTAGGCCAATATTTAATTACATGTTCATTAACCTGGTTGTATCCACTTATTATATTACATGTTCTGCACTTTCCTTAACAAATCTGGTTTCAAAATGTTTTTCTGGATTTTGTGGCTGCTTTTCCATAGAGATGCTGAAGGCTTTGAATTTAAGTGGCCCATTAAGAGAGCTTTTCTAAACCTTTGTCTGAACTGGGTTTCCTGGAGAGGCTTCCAGACAGATGGAAGCTGCTTAATATCTGCAAGTGAACAGTTGCTTAAATGGGAGAGAACAGCTGCCATCCTGCAGGATTACATTCAAGACAAGTGCCACAGATTGTGGGATTTGCTTTAACCAGGATTGCATGATGCAGCTAAGAGAGAAGATGTAGTTCAAGTAGGATAAAATCTGGATGCTGGGAACCAGGAGTAGTTGTGAATCCTCCTTGGTTTGTAAACAGTGTCCTCAGGTGCTTACCTGAATTCTGGCAGCTGACAGAGCAGTGAACTCTCACAGTCAATAGCAGTGCATCGACACAGAAGACTCTGATCCCACACGAGCCACGTGTAAGATCCCAGCAGTTTCTCTGTTTTAAAATAAATACAGTTTATATACCCATTGTCTCTCTCTCCTTAATCCATCCATCTCAACTCCTGTCTAGTAACTAAAGAGCTAAGCTACAATTGTTTTATGGCAGTTGTAATAATCAGAGTTTCTTATCCTGATAGAAACTAACAACAAAAACGCAAGTCAGCTAAAGAAAATAATTCTCTGTAATCACGTGGTTTATTAATTAGCTAATTTTGCAATAGTATGTTGAGCCTCCTACCTTAAAACTACCTCTAAGTCTGCTTGGAAAGTAGTGTAAGCACAGACTTGAGCACCTACACATGAGGAATCTGGACTGATAAATTGATGCTCTGGGGATGCTGATGGGTTTTTTCCTTTTCTGCAAAAGCTACAATGTAACCTTTTCTGTAACAAGTAAAAATTCCTTCTCAGAGGAACATAGAATATAAGTAGGATAAAAAGGAGAAGCTTTTAATTAAGTAAAATACTGATGAAGTAGAGATGGTGAGTATGTTCTAGCTACACACTTCTATTTAGAAAGTGTTTTTCAAGCACTTCTGATTTTCTTTTTGAAAAATCAGTTGCTGCCAAGGCATTTATCTAGCAGAAAGAAAATATTTGTTAGCAGCTATGAATACAACTATCAGAACACAGATTGCTGCAACGTAACTCCAGTGAATGTTCATTAATGATAATAAATACATTAACCCCATCTCAATAAAATTTATAAATTGCAGATTACAAAAAACACTGTAGGACATAATTTTAAAGTACTTGGGAATGTTTTTAATGAGGGTGCTGACATAGCATGGTATCAGAATAATAATACAATCAGAATAATATCAGAAACTCTAGAAATATGACAATTGTTAGTCAGACCATCTACTAATGCCTAATTGCAAAATCGGAAAATAAAATTTATTCAAGGAGGTAACTATAAGTATGTTTGAATGGAGCCACCAAATTTTTCTTGGTTACCAGAGAACCTGTTCAAGGAAGATTTTAGAAAGATTACACAAAGAGAAGGCTGGATTAAAAAGCCAGTAAAAGCAGCTGATCAAAGATGTCCTTGAAAAAGCTGAAAATATAAAAGAAATTTAAACATTAGAAGTATGTTAGGTCCTTGTGAAGGGCACAAGAAATAATAAATACACTGTAAAAAGAAGTCTGACATCAAGATTAAGAAGGACAGTTGGAATAAAGAATTGATGGAATATGTAAACTCATTCTTTGCTTATATATTTCTAATGGAAGAGTTTCATGAGACAGCCAACTTAACATTCCCCAGCAGAGGGCAAATACCAGAGAAATTATTCAAAATGGAGTGTCAACAGAATGTTCTAGAGAGATATCAACAGAAGGAATAGCAGCAAAGTACCAAAAGCCAATGCTAATCATTTGAGAAGGCTTAAGGAACTCAAGGATGAGTGCCTGGTCTCATTGCCATATGAATGGAAAATGGCTAACATACATAAGTCTCAATTTTTAGGAGGCTTTCTGGGACTCAAAATTTTAAAAAAAGAGTTACCCAGATGTTTCTACATCTGACAGGAATTATAAGTGGACACAGGGATAAGTGTGACATGTGGTGGAAGATCAGCATGGGCAGAGGGGTGTCCTATCTCACAAATGTGAACTTTGAGGGAATCAACAACATGCAAAGAGATCATTTCATACAACTGGACTTCCAAAGCCTTCTAGTAATGCTTTGCATCAATGACCATTGCAGAAACTTCCAGGGGATGTGAAGAAAGTCTTCAAAAGAATAGACAACTATTGAGGCAGAAGGTTAAAAAGCACGTCATAGGAGCTCAGTTACCAGTTCTCTAATCTGAGGGCTGCCATGGGTGAGTCTTCAACCTGCTGGCAGCAGCCTCTGTGCAGTCCAGGACACCACTGGCCACCTTTGCCTTGGGGGCACTGAGTCACTGCCTGGTCCTTGTGTTGTCACCAGGACCAGCAAGGTCCTTCTGCAGGGCAGCTTTCCACACACACTGGGCCCCAGGGTGTGCTGCTGCTTGGGGTTATTCCTCCCCAGGGGCCAGTCTTGGCCCTTCCCTTTATTGAATGTCAAAAGGTTTCTTTCATTCCCAGTTTCTTTCCACTCCCAGTTCCCAGGTCCCCCTGTAATGAACCAGCCACTCCTCGCAGTTGTGTTGGTCTCTGGAGGTGCTGAGGGTGTGCCCCACCCTTCAGGTCATTCCAGGGGATGCTGAACTGGGAGGGGTCCAATGTCAAGCCCTTGGATCCACCACTGGCCTCCAGACTGGTGCCACCAATCGCAGCCCCCTCAGCCCTGGCATTTCAGGCAGTTTTCAACCATCTCACTGCCTTCTTGTCTGCCATAAACTCCATCACCCTGTCTGCAATGATGTTGTGGCAAACAGTGTCAAAACCTTTACTGGGGGGAGATAACATCCACTGCTGTCCCCTAGGAAACCCAAATCCATACATTTAAATCAAGATAAAGGGTACAGATCAGTCATTAACTGCATGTAACCAGGGACAGTCCCTGAACTACCTGGTACCTACTCAGGAAAGAAGATACAGACCATCAGTGTAATGCTCAGTAACAGTCAGTAAAACATGCAGCATAAGTAGGGATTACTAGAAAAAGAGTAAAAAGCAAAAGAGAAAACAGTAATTTTTTTTTTTTAAAAAAAGGACTGGTGTAACTAAATCTTGAGTATCACTTCAGATTCAGCCTTCACAGCAAAAATAAAGTAAAACGAGAAAAGACACAGAGGAGGATGACATAACAAAAGTTGCACACCAGTTTCTGTAAGGGAATACTAAATACAAAGGGATTTTCAGCCTGGAAAAGACAGCAAGGATGCCATAATGACTTACTGTGAGAGGCAGTGGAGAAGGCAAATAGGGGAAGACAAAAGAGTTATCAAAGACAGCCCCAAGAAATAAATGTAAGGTACATCTTCCCATAACCCATAAGTTGCAAAAGATTCTGACATATGTGGGTAGCACATATTTAAAATGAGCAGATAAATTCACAAAAGAGGAATTCATCATGGGGTATTAGCTGCAGAACCTAGTAAATATTGCTGAAGTTGAAATTTGAGATTATGCCGGGAAGAATCAATTTTTTTTTCTCTACACATTTGCTTGTGAACACAGATGGAGAGAGGGCACTGGATTATAAGAACCCTTAATGTGACCCAGGAAGGTGAGAAACCTTTATGTTCTTTGGTATTGACCATTCATGTCCCAACACTGGCCAGCTGTAAGGGCCCCAGCTTCTTACAGACCTTTCCAGTTTGATTCCAATCTTGTAAGCAAATGCTTTCAGTTACCTCCTGCACTTTCTTTTCTATCACAAGAGAAATACTTTGCAGCAATAATTAGAAGTAAATTACATTTACTATTTTAAAATATGAATCAAAAGAAATAATAAACTTATTTCAATAAGGCTGTCTGCCCTGCTCTTTGTGTCATGCTAATAGGCTCATCAAAACATCCCTTCCAGAACAGAAAACAACAAATTCTTTTAATTTCCAGGCTCTCCACTGATGTACAGCTAGAGCACTTTCCCATAAATCTCTCAAACAGCAGTAGGATGTAGTGTGTATTAAGAGATCTGGGAGCGTTGCAGAAGAGACTCCTGGCAGTAAGAGACGCTTCACTTTAGCGTGATACATCACAAAAATCTATCCAGGCTGTTACCAGCACCTGATGAAGGAGACACCCCCAGCCCACTGCTTCACGTTCAATTTTTTCAAAAATTTCATGATGCATGAATTCTCCTACCAGAACAGAAAGTGCAGCCATTTTAAGGTAGTTTACAGACCCTGGAGTTACCGAAGCCACCTCTAACTTGGAAGCATCCAAGTACATGTTACATTTCTGTAAGAACTGGTGCTTCAGTGAAATGATCCAAGTGCCAATTCATTTAATCCCCAAACTGAAATACGGTCATTCTCTGCTTCTGTTTGAAATATTGTCTACACTGAGCAAACAAAACACTAAAAATAAAATTTTATGTCAGTTATTTCCTCTCACTGGCACCTTCATCCATACAGGATCCAGAGCCCTGAGCCCTCCCTGGGTGTGGGCAAGTATGATACAGCTCAGTGGCTGGAGAGCACCAGAGTAAGAGTTTAGATGGACTCCATTCCTTGTTGAAGCTGGATCACTGTGCAGTCAGAAACCTGGAAATCTTTTGGACAGTTGAAAATCAGGAAGGCATGTTACTCTACAGACAGGTAATTATTTAACATGTTTTATACAAATTTTATATTTTAACAAGTCCAGCTTTTGCTGGACTGCTCTCTTTCACTTGGGCACCTCAGTTTTTTGTGGAACATTCTGCCTTAAGTGCCAAAGCAGGCAAGATCTGACCTTGGCACTGAATTCAGGGTCCTGCATAACATTGACCATCAGGTTTTCCTCAATTGATTCCTTTTGAGATAGAAAATTAAAATGAAAACGACCTATTTTAATTTTTCATTGGCAAGGAACACACCACAAAGCTGACAAATACTCAGCTGGAATTACTTGGCAGAACAGTTAATTCCATATTTATCTCATTTTGTAGTAAAAAATATATTTCTGTAAAACTACTAACTTGCAGATCTCAGCTCTGCCAGCATTATAATTGCTATTAATAAATAGGGTACCTTCAGCACTGCTCAAAAAAAACCCCAAAAGGTTGGTTTGCATCTTATGTTCTGTAAAACAAGAGTGAGCAACATCAGCTGTATTTTCTTCCCTTAGCATTAGCAGGGTAATATTATAGAAAACTATCTGATATAAAACTGATATTGTCCCCTATATTCTTTTAAAACACTAGCACAACTGTTGGTTTTAAAACACTTGCACAACAGTAGCTCCATTGCAGTTTCCTGGAAACTCTCCACAGTTTCAAGAATGACAATAAATTATCTGTCCCAGCAGCTCCTTGACCAGCCCATTTGTTCTGTACCTTTCCCAGACAATCCTCAGCTCACAGATGAGCATTCTGCTCGTGCACATGCAGACTGGGGCACTACCTGTGCCCTTGTAGTACATTTTGTAGTGTA